CTACAGGTGCCCATTGGAAGACTGCCAATGCTCTGGGATCTACAGGAGGCTGATGGGGCTGACAAGGGGCCAATGCTTAATTAGAGGGCATGGATGGCTTAAAGGCCACTATCTTAGACATGTCCCAGTTGTGTGGACCATGGCAGTCCAAGAGTATAAAACACAGAGTCCACCCCAGAGGTGTCTGTAATCTGTAAAGTTTACCCATCATGTGGAATCAACAGGCTCTGAGGTTGGGCCCATCTATATGGCTTAGCGCAGTGATGGCGAACCTATGGCACGTGTGCCACAGGTGGCACGCCGGGTCCTTTCTGTGGGCACGCGGCCATAGGTTCGCCATCAATGCAAAGTAGGTACCTGCCTGCCCAAAACGGCAGGTGCCTACTCTGCTTCCGTGTCGGGAGGCAGGGGGAGGGATCTGTGAAGCAGCTCCCCTGTCCTCCCGCGAGCAAGCTGTGTGGAGCGTTGCCGCGTTTTACCATGGCAAGAGACCACACAGCATCGCGGGAGGACAGGGGAGCTGCTTCACAGATTCCTCCCCCTGCCTCCCGACATGGAAGCAGTGCTTGCCACCACCCGACCACCAGGGATGGCTGTGTCCCCCCCCCCTCCTTCATTAAAGGTAAGAAGGAGGGAGGGGGGATACTGATTTAGCATACTTTTTTTAAAACACCTTTACCCCAGCCCCACACACACAGCACCCCTACCCCCACACACAGTACCCCTATCACCCCCCACACAGAGTACCCCTTCCCCCTCCACCCAGCATCCCTCCCCACCCCCACACACAGCACCCCAACCCCAACAGCACCCTTACCCCTGCCCAGCACCCCTCACACACACACAGCACCCCTCACACACACACACACACACACACAGCACCCCACACACACAACACCCCCCCACACACACACACACAGCCCACCCACACACACACACACAGCACCCCACACACACACACACACACAGCACCCCTCACACACACACACACACACACACACAGACACCTCTCATATACACACACACACACAGCACCCCTCACACACACACACAGCACCCCCCACACACACACACAGCACCCCTCATACACACACACACATCACCCCTCATACACACACACACAGCACCCCTCACACACACACGCAGCACCCCTCACACACACACACACACAGCAACCATCACACACAGCAACCCTCACACACAGCACACACACAGCGCCCCACACACAAAGACATACACTACACCCCTCAATGCAGTATGTGTGTGTATTCAGCAGTCTGTGTGTGTGTATTCAGCAGTCTGTGTGTGCGTGTGTATTCAGCAGTCTGTGTGTGTGTGTGTGTGTGTGTGAGTATTCAGCAGTCTGTGTGTGTGTACTCAGCAGTGTATGTATTCAGCGGACTGTGTGTGTATGTATTCAGCAGTCTGTGTATGTATTCAGCAGTCTGTGTGTGTGTGCTCAGCAGACTGTGTGTGTGTACTCAGCAGTCTGTGTGTGTGTGTATTCAGACTGTGTCTGTGTGTATTCATCAGTCTCTGTACCCAGCAGTCTTGTTTGTGTGTATTCAGCAGACTGTGTGTGTATGTATTGCATTTGTTGGAGATACTAATAAATATAAGCTTAATTATATCTATTTATATCATTATTTAAAATTTGTATCATTGAACTCTCTGTTGTTGTGTTCTTTTAAAACAAAAGTTGTTAATTTGTTCGGACAACAGTACGAGTTGTTTTTTCTAAACTTAAACCTCAGTATTGAGGTTTAATTGCCGTGTTGGCAAAAAAGTTGGCATGTATTGGGTTTGGGCACTCAGGCTCAAAAAGGTTCATCATCACTGGCTTAGCGTGTTGACAGAGAGTAGTGGTCAAGGGCTAGAACAGTCTCCTCCAGATCAGAGTCATTCTGGTTAAGTCTTGAAAGAAGGTCAAGGTAGCAAATTCAAATGGGTAAGAAGGCACTTCCCATACTGCTGTCATGAAGGCAATCTGTATAGATCTTGTCTGGAACTGGAAAATAACATTCCTTGGTGAACCAGCTGATGCTCTCATTGCTTTAGGGATGTGGAATACTCCATCTATCACAGCCTGTTTGGTCCACTGAAAGGCGAGTAGAGTGGCCAGCAGTCTCCTTTTGTAGTTCGGCAGCTCCATAAGGATGACACTTTCAGGGATGCCCCTGATTTTCACATTCCTTCACCTGTGCCTGTCTTACATAGTTACATAGTTACATAGCTAAAAAGAGACTTGTGTCCATCAAGTTCAGCCTACCTCGCATTTGTTTTTTTGCTGTTGATCCAAAAGAAAGCAAATAAACCCAGTTTGAAGCACAATTTTGCAACAAGCTAGGAAAAAAAATCCTTCTTGACCCAGAATGGCAGTCAGATTTATCCTTGGATCAAGCAGTTATTACCCTACATTGAAAGATTATATCCTTGAATATTCTGTTTTTGCAAGTATGCATCTAGTAGCTGTTTGAACATCTGTATGGACTCTGATAAAACCACTTCTTCAGGCAGAAAATTCCACATCCTGATTGTTCTTACAGTAAAAAAACCTTTCCTTTGCCTTAGACGAAATCTTCTTTCTTCCAGTCTTAATGCATGGTCTCGTGTCCTATGTAAAGTCCGGTTTGTTAATAGATTTCCACACAATGGTTTGTATTGGCCCCGAATATATTTGTATAATGTTATCATATCCCCTCTCAGGCGACGTTTTTCTAAACTAAATAGGTTTAAATTTGTTAACCTTTCTTCATAGCTGATATGTTCCATTCCTTTTATTAATTTTGTAGCCCGCCTCTGCACTTTTTCTAGTGCCATAATATCCTTCTTTAGAACAGGTGCCACGCCCTCTAGGCATTGCTCGAGCTGTAAAGCTCTGTTGTTGTGCCCTCCAGTACAGTATTACATGCAGTGAGGTATTATGTATCCTCTACCACCGCCTTTACACGTCCCTCTATAGCGTGGATCTTTTCTTTTATTATTGCGAGGTCTGCCTCAAAGAGCTGGCGAATGGTACGGAGTAGAGCTTTGAAGTTCCCTTTAGTTGAGGGCAGCTCGTCGTCCTCATCGGAGGATGGGTTGTGCAGTCTTTCTATGGTAGGGATCTCGTCCAGTCTTTTGGGGATAAGGTCTCAGGGGCCTTTTCCGATCGGAGCAAAAGATCTCCTATGTCTTGGGTGCATGAAGGTTTTACTGGCCCTGGACTTTTTCCCCATACTTGTGAATAGTGTTTCATGCTTTATGGTGTGAAAGTAGAGCTTTTAAGTAGACAAAAAACTTTTTTTGTCCCAAAGCTGCACTGCAACACATCTGCTCTGTTTAGGTGGAAAATCTAGTGGAGTGTTCCTTTATTAATCAAAAAATGTTTATAAAAGCCCATATTATTTCTCGGAAGTTACACATTTTTTTTTACATAATTAGTTGATCGTTCATTTAAACTATATTTCATATAATTAATTATTGTTAAGAGAATGACTGCTGGAAAAAATAATGCACTATTCCCTACGTCAAAACATGTATTAACACACCATTGCTGTCAGTCTGTCTCTCTATCATTTTTAATAAGTTGTTTTTTTTCTCTTCGACTACCAGGTATTTTTAATTGCTCTGACTACAATTCCCTGAGTGAGTTTGTAGCACTTAAATACATCCTGAATCTTTAGTAAAACATCAGAAAATTCCCTCCATAATCAGCCTGCTGATTTAACTGTGAGTACATTTTTTTTTTTTTTGCATATTTTTGAATACTAAAACAAAAGAAAATAAGTGATTTTTATTTGCTCAACAGTGTGTTGTGGTCATTTTAAATTCACTTTGAATTACCAATAATTCTCACTTTAGTATAAAACCCTGCTAGTAATTTTAAAGTGAATTTCAAATTTAAGGCAAAAATAACCAAACTTTAAAAAGTCAGATTTCCTACCAGTTCAACTACTTAGATCTTTATTTTGAAATTCACGTTGACAAAATACTCAAAGTAAAAACAGAGGTGCCTTAAAGAATGTTTCCAAAACCACTATTTTGGCCTAATAATGTTCACTTTAATTTCCTGGCAAGTCCGGGCAAATAACCGTTCCTGTATGCCTCCAAGATATCACGTATTTTGGTATTTTGGATTTACCAGAGCAGGATTGTCTGCTTTGGAAAATATTTATTATTGTCTTTTGTTTAAATCTACAAGTACCTATGATGAATAGTGAATAAACTTCAAATTTTAACCCTAATAATATGATTAAGTTATCTCTTAATAGACAACTCAAGGCACTATGACTATATCAACAAGATGAAATGTTTAGAGTGACTACATTGTCCCTTTAATTTTTCATCTTTGAGAAATCTAGACATTTGCTAACAATTCTGGTAGCAACGTATTAATGGAATTTGAATCACAATCATTTCAGATTAAGTTGTATTTGTCATGACAGATACCCTTTCATTAAACTAAAACTATAACTGAGCTCCTTTGTTTTTCTTCTAAATCACTGAGAAAACATTAATAAAAATTCAAAACATAAAAAAGTATTCACAAAATAACAGTAGCCAAATGTACACAAAATGTATAAAAGTTCATGTAAACCAAACCAAGCTGATGCAGAATTTAAAGTAGAGACTTATATTTTGGACAGGGAGCAAGGGTTGGCATATGACACATATTTTGGCATATCTTGTGTGCATGCTGAGGATATTTTTTAATTGTCAGTTTTCTTCTCTAATGTTCTGCGCTATTGATTCTAACAAGTAATGCCAAGTATGTATTTTCATCACTTCTCCATTCTATTATAATAGCAATATCATATGAAAGAAAAAAAAAATTAAAGTCAAATTCAGACTTTAACATAATTCTATTGAAGTCAAATAAAAACAATTTAAAGCTATTTCCAATTCTACCAAAACATGAAAAAATAATGTTCTTGATTCAAAAATAAAAGTCAGATTTCTTTTTCAATCAAGAAGTGGTGTCCATATGTTAACTATTATATATTTTTATACAATGTAGCTCAGTATTGGAATGCACTGAAATAAATTTTCTTTTTCAGCAAGCACATCAGGGAGGCTGGCGCTGCTCCCCCTAGCTGCTTCATCCCTTCCACCCGAATCCGGTATGCTCTGTCCCGGTCTGCTTTTAGGAAGGTGTTAACCTCTGCCTTGTTATGCTGCAACATCTCTGCTGACCGGTTAGGGCCATTGTAGGCCAGTCGCATCTTCATCTCCATCTGGAATTCATGCTCTTCAGAGGATGAGTTGGAGAACTCACTGTTGGCTTGGTCCTCCATCAGTTCAGCGATTAAAGCAGCCTTTGACTTGTTGCTAGCCACCCTCCCTCTCACCTCCAGCAGTTTCTTCAAGGTGTATGAGCTGCAAATAAGTCAGCTCCTTATACTGCTTAAGTGCCTTGGTCTGCTGTACTCAGTGGTCCTCACTGAGCAACTCTCCTAGGGACTGGGACATCCCACTTCAAACACCAGTTGTAGCGGGTGAAGCACAAAACTGAGGCTGAGTACCTCTGTTATAATTTTCCTATTCCAGGGTTAAGTTGTGCTTCAGTGATTATAGCTTCCCACAGACACTCAAAGACATATGCTATGAACAAAAATGGCCTTTATTGTCACGAACAGTGGTCTATACAGGGACAATAACAACAGGGGGTCACGAATAAAAATAATGGGTTACCACCCTGGTGCCTCTGGCTCTGGGAGATATTTTAATGAAGTATCACTCATTTTATTCCATTCACATACATCAGGGTGCCAGAATAATAAAACAGTGTAAAAACATAACTGAAACATATTTTTCATATACAGTTTATATCTTCCTGGACAAGTTCATTCCCCCAAGTGTAGTGTCCAAAAAGTTCCTAGCCCAGGAAATTATTGAATGGAGGTTTACTGCCCTGAGGCTACATACCGATCCGACATGTAATTCCATGCTGCGGCAATTAAGAGTCTGTCACTGAAATTAACTGTTTCTAGCGTGGAAAAGTGGGGTTCCCCCTGGCTCCTATATAGGGATTTGTAGCCTCCCTCTCCTGTACCAACCCTCTAAAAAGTGTTTATGTGTGTGTGTATGTATGTATGTAAATGTATGTGTTATTGCTTGGTTAAGCTTTTATCACTGTTATCTTTTTCCTGGCAGCATTTTCTATCCAATGAATGGGAATGTACCATCAAATCAACAACTCTACAGTTACAGAATTTATTCTAATGGGTTTATCTTCAAGGCATGATATACAAATAGGCTTATTTCCAATATTTGTATTAATTTATATATTTACCATTTTAGGAAATACAGGAATAATTTTCCTTGTCTATAAGAATGCCAGATTACGCACGCCCATGTACTTCTTTATCTGTAGTCTATCGTTTTTGGATCTCTGTTATTCTTCAGATATCACTCCAAAAATGATTGTCGATCTCCTTTATGAGAAGAAGACTATCTCCTATATTGGCTGCGCAGTTCAACTCTTCTTCTTCTGCGCATTTGGTACAACTGAATGTTGCCTTTTTGCTGTAATGGCCTATGATCGCTATGTTGCAATATGCAACCCATTAAACTACAACATTGTCATGCGATCAACTACTTGTACAGTACTCATGTCTGGAGCTTACAGTATTGGCTTTGTGCATGCTTTAATTGAGATATGTTTTACATTTCGTCTCTCCTTTTGTGCATCTAATATTCTCCATCATTTTGTTTGCGACTTTCCTCCATTACTAAATATCTCTTGCACAGATACATCTATTAATGAACTTATTATATTTATTTTTGCATCTTCTATAACTATGTTTTCTATTATGGTCATCATCATGTCATATGTTGCTATCTTTTTGGACATTTTAAAGATAAAAAATCTGAAGGGAAGAAAAAAAGCATTTTCAACGTGTTCTTCTCATATCATCGCTGCCTCAATTTTATATAGCATTATCCTTTTTGTCTATCTAACACCCAAATCTAAAACATTTGTACAGAGTGAACTCATAGCAACAGTGATGTACACTGTGGCATTACCCATGATCAATCCAATAATTTATAGTTTTAGAAATAAAGATATTAAAGTATCACTCAAAACAACATTCCAAAATTCAAAAAAATAAAATGTTTTAATCTACGGTTTGTGTGTTTTCTAATGCATAGATAGTGGTGCAATTATTTACTCTGGAATGCTTATGTGGTATTTATTATTATTTGTGATGGACCCCCTGGTCACTTAGGACTGGTGCAGTACTCCCATCCACCACCTTTCCTGAAAAGGACAATAATCACTGTGGTATCTCCTTCCCACTGTTCCTATCCTATCCATCCCTGCACTAACAGAGCCAAACTAACCACCCGAAGAACATCAGGGACTAGTGAAGGGCTGGTACAGGCATAGCGCACTTGACTGGAAAATGCCCAGGAATCATGTGGAACTGTGTATTGGGTTGTAGAATTATCTCTGTCTAGGTAAACAGGGTTATGAAATGTATTTTTTCCATGATGAGCCCTGTTGGGGACTGTGGCATAAAAAGCCTGTTGTCACTCAATTACCATGCATCAAGACTTGGCTGTTGATTAGGGAGAGGGCAATATCACTCTTGGTCTTTTTAATGCTGGGAAGAGGAAACATTTGGCGATGCTGGTCTGCTGTGTGCCAATAGTGGCCGGTGGGGAGATTAAAGATCTCTCTCATTGGCTCATTGGCACTTCAATCTATCACACAGAAGGACCCGGGAGCTCTAACCTTCAGCTTCACCAAGTCCTGAAGGTTCCTCTTGTAAGGTTGGAGCATTGCTGCAGTTACCACTGCAATGCTCAGACAGTGCCAAATCGCGTGAGTGTGAACTCTATCCCTAGGAGCTGCAGGCTAAAGTAAGCCAAACTTACCGTTCATATTTGCTTGTGTGTGTAAAATGCAAAAAACAAATATGAACACTAACTTTGTCCAGTGTTTGTGGCTACTAAAAAAGACTGGGCATACCATACCCATTTGCAATACCTTGGGTTGTCTGTCTACTTTTGTACATGGTATGCATGGCATGCCGTCATGGGGGTAATTCTCATTACTGAGCTACCATATGGTCTCAAAGGCAACATAACCAATCTGACAAATTTCAATCTGAAAAAGAGAAATGGGTAAGACATATTAAACCATGTAATTTTCTAAGACAACAATCGACAGTGAAAGTGCCATTTGAAGGAAAATGGCACATTCATGGACAATATTGTTGTGATATGTTTTACTGTTTTGAAACATTATTATTTGTATTCAGCGAAGTCTCCCAAGTATAACAGTACCCCCATGTACAGGTTTTGTGTTACAGGGTTAAATAGAGGGCTTGGGAATTAAATTCTCTGGACTTTCTGTCATGGTTGTCAAGCAGGTCTCTGAAATTGAAATCAATAAAATTACTTAATTATGTAAAATTCGTACATAAATATATACGTAGAATTTAAATATATATACAGTTGTGATCAAAGGTTTGCATACCCTTGGAGAATTGTTAATATACCATCTTTACTTGAATCTAATGTGCACCTTTTTTGGAAGATAAAGTTTCCAAAATTTGAGTGCGCATTAGATTCAATGGCACATTACATTTAAAATATTACATTACATTCGCCAGCAAAAACATTTTTCAGCTTACAGGTTTCAAAAATTGAGGTACGCATTAGATTCAAGTAAATACGGCACTTGGCATTATTAAAGAAAACATGAGTGAGCAGGCAAAACAAATTTATTTTATTTCTTATGGGATTCATATTCAACTGTAGGTTATAACAGAATTGCACAATCATGAAACAAAACATGGCAACAGAGAAAAAAAATAAATGACCCTTGTTCCAAAATCTGCATACCCTTAGTATTGCCCCCGTAAGCATAAATGACAGCATGCAGTCTGTTGTAATAGTTGTCTATGAGGCCCCTAATTCTTGCAGGTGGCATAGCTGCCCATTTGTCTTGGCAAAATGTCTCCAGGTCATGCAAAATCTTTGGTCGTCTTACACGAACCGCACGTTTGAGATCTTCCTAGATCTCGATGATATTAAGGTCGGCAAGCTGTGATTGCCACTCCAGAACCTTCACCTTTTTCTGCTGTAACCACTGTAGTGTTAACCTGGCCTCATGCTTAGGGTTGTTGTCATGCTGGAAAGTCCAAGAGTGTCCCATGCACAGCCTTTATGCAGAGGAATTCAAATTGTTTGCCAGTATTTTCAGAGAACATGCTGCATTCATCTTGCCATCAATTTTCACTTGATTCCCCCCGCCTTAAGAGCTCCCACACCCCCAAAACATCTATGAGCCACCACCATGTTTCACAGTGAGGATGGTATTCTTTTCACTACAGGCCTTGTTGACCCCTCTCCAAACATAGTGCTTATGGTTGTGATCATAAAGCTCTATTTTGGTCTCATCACTCCAAATTACAGTGTGCCAGAAGATGTGAGGCATGTCAAGGTGTTGTTGGACATATTGTAACTGGGCTTTATTGTTGCATTGGTGCAGTAAAGTCTTCTTTCTGGCAGTTCATTTTTGTTCAAGTATCGTTGTATTGTGCTCCTTGAAACAACCACACCATCTTTTTCCAGAGCAGGCTGTATTTCTCTTGAGGATACCTGTGGGTTTTTCTTTGTATCCAGAACATTTCTTCTGGCAGATGCAGCTGAAATCTTTTTTTGGTTTGGTCTACCTGACCTTAGCTTGGTATCAAGAGATCCCTGAATTTTCCACTTCTTTCTTCTTTCCACTAAATGATTGAACATTACTGACTGGCATTTTTAAGGCTTTCAATTTATTTGTGTATCCTTTTCCATCCATATAAAGTTCAATTACCTAGTTATGCAGGTCTTTTGACAGTTCTTTTTTGCTCCCCATGGCTCAGTATCTAGCCTGCTCAGTGCCTCCATGTGAGAGCTAACAAACTCTTTGACGATTTGTACACAGACACTAACTGCAATTTAAAAGCCACATGCGTGAAAAATTAACCGTTAATTGCCATTTTAACCTGTGTGTATCTGTAACAAGGCCAAACATTTAAGGGTATGTAAACTTTTGATCAGGGCAATTTGTATGATTTCTCTTATCATTATGATTTAAAAAGGAACCAAACAAATATGTGATAATAAATGGCTTTATATGACCACTATACTTCAATAAAATACTTTTTTTGCATGATCAGTCATGGAACGTTTGAGCATAACTGCATATTTAATTATAATTTTGAATATATATAAAATTAACTTAATTCTAAGTCTACTTTCCTATTAACATATCTATATTAACATACATATATATATATATATATTAATATCAAAATACACTTAGAATGGCTAAACGCCAGACAAGAAGGATGCGTGATCCTTAGCTCCGGCGCCCAAGCTTACAATCTACTTCAATTCCAGCACAGAGAACAGTGCATCTTGCCAGAAAGCGGCAATGTCACAAAACAAGAGCAAGAAGAATTCATCGAAAACTGAAAAGATTACTGAAAAGGGGTCTGAGGATGGAATTTCACCGCCAACCCACCTCTGCGTAGGAGATGGGGCTTTTGATCTTCAGAAAGAAAACAGTTGGAATGGAGCACAGCGACGGGAGGCCGCTGACAAAGACCATGAACCCTATGGACTGTAACGCAAGTATCCCATCTCACACCATCCTCATACTATAGCTACCCACTTCCCACTCATAACTGACTGAGCTTCAGACACAGAGAGGTTGAGTTATAATCATTTGAACCCATAAAGACTATCTTACAAAAGACATAACATAACGGCATGAACACCAAGCCCACTCCTCTCCTCGGTACATTACCTATGCACATAGCATGATGTGACTGGAATACCGGTGCTCACACTCACCCATGATACCAATCTCACTCCCACAAGTAGATGACTCACAGCACGGAGAAATTCCCCCACGGGATACCAACATTTATTATTCTTGTCTTACTGTTATGTATCGTTAGTTCGGCTATCCCACATCCTACAGAATGCAAGCAAGTACTCCACGTCCAATG